ACAAATCAGAAATTTTATAAGTCACTTGTTTTACGGTCACAAACAAAATTTTTATGTGTTATAAATTATTTTACGGTCACAATTCAGAAATTTTATAGGTCACAATTTATTTATCAGTCACAAATAAAAAAATTGTTCATTATAATTTATTTATCGGTCACAAATCACAAATATTATAAGTTAGAACTTAATAGAAAGTCACAATTTGTAAAATTATCGCTCACAAATTTAAAAAAAAAAAATTTGGTCACAATTTATCTTTTTCATTGGTCACGTGTTGTTTATTGGTCACAAATTAACCACTTTAATGGTTACAATCAAACAAATAATTTGTGACCACCGTGACCACCACTGCACCACTCCCTCCAGTAGCACCACCGCCACTTTCGCTCCCAAAACCACCACCACCACCTTTCGACAGCAATACAACAATTTCAAACTGATCAACACATCGTAGAAAAGCATCACTACATTGTTACGTCATTCCACCACCATCGTGACAAACCCGTTGCCATCGTCGCCACCACCACCACCTCGCACCGCCCTACAACCTCACCAATACTGCCTACATCACTGCTGTCAACACGACAATCACTTCCTCAATTCATCACCACCACCGTGACCACTATCTACACAACCGTCGTCGACCACAATGTGTTGCACCCAACATCTACAGCACCACCAAAATAACAGGACCTCACCACCACCACCCCCCATCCTACAACTTAAAAAAAATCTTCAACCATATCATCATCTCCGTTGCCTTTATCGACCACCACACCATCGCCCAACCACCATCACGCCACCAACCAGAACCACTGCACCACGCCAAAAACTAGAACCACTGCACTCACCAAAACACAGAGAACCACCACCACGCAAACAACCAGAAAAAAACCCTCTAGATCGGAAACCACCACACCCAACCCCCACCAACGTATCCAAACTGCCGCACACTTCATCAAAGAAAAAGAGACGAACCACTACTGCACAGATTGCAAACCTCCACCAGACAGATCGCGACGCTACCCAAACCACCGCACACGACCGGCCTTGCAAGGACGGCCTTGCGAGGTCTTCGACAACGACGGCGGCAAGAAAAGAGAGGCTATAGAAAGAGGGGAAGAAGAGAGAGGCGACCAGAGGAGAGAGAAGGAGAAGTTAGAGAGAGAATGACGACGTGAAATGATTTTTGATTTTTAGAGTTTGGGTAACTATAATTTAGATAGAGATGAATTAATATCTGATTTTTGTATAAATAAAGTTTATATATGAAATTTACAATTGAAAGTTTAAAAATCTGGTTTTTTGTAATTTCCTCTTAAGGTATTCAACTGCATGACAAGACTATAAACTTAATCCTAAAACTTCAATTAGTAACCAA